ATCATACCCAACATTAAAGAAGAATGAATATTTGGACATGGTTAAGATGTTTGAAGAAAATCAGAGTGTGTACAAAGATACCAAAAGATACAGTCGAGTAAAAGTTAAAAATGACAATAGTAGTTGGAGAAAAGTATTTAAAGAGGTGGAAAAATGGAGAAAAGTACAGAATTAAAATATGGAACAAATAATAAAAACAACGGATTCAGAAATAGAAGCATTGATTGAAGCATTAAGAAATATTCAAGAAGAAATTATCAAATTAAAGGATAAAAACAGGAAGTTAGGTAACATAAAATTGACGATTGGAACGAAAGGGAAGAATCATCAATTAAAGAAATACAGGAGGAGATAATAAAAATAGAGATAGCCATAGGTAGAACGGAAATATACAAAGAAATATTATGGAAGAAAATAATTACAAAAGAATAATTGACAATATCGAAAAAGAAAATAAGTATGAATTGAAAGAGGGAATTTTATATAGAGTAAAAGGACAAAACAAATTTAGAGTAATCAGGGATTATGAATACGAGGGATTAATGTACATGATGCACGATAACGAATTATCAGGACATTTTGGGATAGAAGCGACATTAGATAGAATAAAAGAAAATTATTGGTGGAAAAATATGAAAGAAGATGTAGAAGAATATGTAAGAACGTGTTGGAATTGTCAAATGAGAGGAAAACCAAGAGGAAAGAACGAATTAATACCAATAAGAATAAATGAACCATTCGAAATGATTGGGATAGATATAGTTGGACCATTAAAAGAGACGGAAAAGGGAAATAAGTATATTGTAGTAGCAATGGATTATTTTACGAAATGGCCCGAGGCCGCACCACTAAAAGAAGCTACAGCAAAAGAAGTAGTAGAATTTATTTGGAGAGACATAATTTGTAGACATGGATGTCCAAAGAAAATAATTAGCGATAGAGGGACTCACTTTAACAATAAAATGATGGAGGAATTAGTAGAAAGATGTGGAATAAATCATAGATTAAGTACACCATATAGGCCACAAACAAAAGGTTTGGTCGAAAGATTCAATAAAACTTTATGCGAAGGATTAGCCAAATTAGGAGAAGAAAACTGGGATAAACATATACCATCCGTATTATTTGCATACAGAACAAAGAAGCAATCGTCAACAAGAATTAAACCTTTTTATGCAACATACGGAAGGAGAGCGAAATTACCATTAGACAAAGATGAAAACAAGATAACATTAGCTGATAGAGTAAAAATACTAATTGAGAAGCTACCAGTAATAAGAAGAAAAATAAAAGAGAACGTGGAAGAAGCTCAAGAAAAACAAAAACAACAACATGACAAAAGAGGAATTAGGAAACATAAATTTGAAATAGGAGAAAAAGTATTATTATACGAAGCGTGAAGAGAAAAACAATGGTCTGGAAAATTACAGAACAAATGGAAAGGACCATATTTAATTCACGAAGAATTTGGAAATGGGGCATATAAACTCAAAGAATTGGATGGAAGAATACTAAAAACACCACAAAATGGAGAATGGTTAAAGAAATTTTATGATCGAGGGAGATTTACACCAAAAATAGTAATTAAAGGAAAAGAGGTATTCGATAAGACCCGAGTTCGATTCGATTAAAATTATTATGAACGAGACCCGAGTTCGATTCTTTTAAAGTTATTTGTGAGGTCACAAATAGCGAAGAGGGGGATAATGTAAACGGCCGAATATCAAGCATGAGAAGATGATAAAACACCACCGCCAAATGTAATTATCAAGTATTAAGAACGAACAAATTAATCGTGGATTGGTGTGGATGGATAAATAATTAGCCGAAAAGGATAAACATTTAAGAAGAGTAATGATCTACATGATGTAATATTTATTGAATGATTGACAAAGAACCAATAGGATAAATAGAGTCGATCATTTGCGGCTTAGCGATCTTTAATAATAAGAACGATTAGAAAGAATAATTATAAGCCACGAAAGATAGATTATAGGCAAAACACACAAAGTGGATTAAAAGAACATATAAAATAATTTCGGAAAGATTAAAGAACACAAAATAATATAAAAGATAATATGAAAAGATGGCATAAAGATGGAATATAAAAGATAACATATTAAAAAGAACATATATAAAAGATAACACAGCCACAAAAGATGAATTATATCTTTACGACATAATATTTGAAAGATTGTTTTAAAGAAAAGATAGCACAGCCATAAAAGATGGGTTATAAATTATTTCTTTACGATGTAATATTTGAATAATAGAAAAGATAATATATAGAATAATATATAAGATAGCATATTAAAAGATAGCGTATTTAAAATATAGATAGTATATTAGAAAGATAGTTCAAAGATAATATGTAAAGAATATAAAAGATAGTATATAGATAGAATAGAAAGTAGCATAAAAATTGTATATATAGAGAACGGAATTCAAAGTAATTCCAAAGTTCGCATCCACAGAACTCAATAAAATATAAGTTTCATTTAATTATTCGTTAATGAAGTTTAATATTAATTAAAGGTAATAGGTTCGCCCTAAACTTTAATTAATGTTGGATTAATTAATTTTTAATCAATGAAATTTTAAGAAGATTTAAATATATGTTTTGAAAAGTGATAATTCGTAGCGAGAGCTATTGAATTTTGAAATTAAAGGTAAAAGTGGATATAATTTGAGGAAAGAGGAGTACATTTTATTTTATATCGTTTAATGTTTTATATTACTAACGCTATTTATTTTGTGAACCAAGAATGTTGTCGTTATATGTTGTATATGTTGTTGTATGTCGTTGTTAATCATGTTGTTAATTAATTGCTCACTCGTTTAATTGTTCGTTCGTTCGTTTGTTTGTTCGCTCATTCGTTCGTTTGACCATGAGAATGCCCGTTCGATGTGGCAACCTTGTAAATTGATGACAGGGGGAATTGGGGGATCTCAACGCCTTCGCTTAAGAAAATAAAATCTATTCTGGACGAATATTCTCCACTCCTCCAGGTATCTAGCATATCTTTCTCCGCCGTCAGACATTCGTGAACATCTTGTAAGCCATGTTGTTTTATTGTCGCTGTCAGTGGTCTTTTCTTTTTCTTTTTTTTGTCATTGGCTGATTCGTTAAAATCTCCCAGAATTATCATTTCGTATTCTAGATTTATGGCCTCGTTCATCCATTTAGCTATTTTTGTTTCTATCAAGGTGGTTGTTGGTTTGTCATCATTTGGGTTATATATACCTATTATTCGAATGTTCTTTTGGTTTCCTCTGAATAAAATGTCTAATTTAATCACGTGACCGTCTATTTTTTCTATCGCGTATCTTCTATCGTTAATTTCTTTCCTTAGTAAAATTATGAGCCCATTTTTTGTATTTTCATTGTTGTAGCTACTATTAATGCATTCGTAATCTTTCCAGTCGCTATATATATGTTTACCTTTTGATTCTTTGAGTTTAGTTTCGCTGATTATTGCTATATCCCATTTTTCTTTTCCCAAAAAATTCCTTATTTCTCCTTGTTTTTTTATATCATTCATTCCCCTTACATTTATACAACCTATTTTAATATTGTTATTTTTTATTTTTTGTTCATTTTCCCATTTTTTTCCTTTTTTATTTTTTGAATTTTTTCCATTTTCCTTCTTTGCGCTTTGCGTTATTTTTCCTTTTCCTGGCTCTTCCAGAGCCTTATTACTTTCTCTTTGGTTAATATTGTCCGAAATATTGGTGTCGTCCTGCTCCTGCTCTTCTTTCATATTGGTCTCTCTGTTGATATCTATTGTTGTATCCATTGCTTCTTCTATTTCCATTTCTGTCGTTGTCGTAATCGTCGTCTCCTCCGTTGTGGTTGTTGTAGTAGTTGTCATTGTTGTTGTAGTGTCTATCTTGTTGATCGTATTGGTCGTGTTGTTTGGTGTTATTGTATCGATTTCTTCTTCTTCCAAACTCATTTTTGTCAGTTCTTTTATTAAATCTTGGGTTGTGTCCTCTTCCGTCTCCATTATATCCATTTCCATTATATCTTCCGAAGTAATTATTTCTTTGTCTATTATTGTTTCCTTTCTGTTGTCGAAAAAAATTTCCTTCGTCGTCGTATCTGCCTCTATTGGGTTGTGTGTTGTCATTCCAATTGTTCCTTCTCGCATTTCTTTCATCATTATCTCTTGAGTTGTTGAAATAACAATCTGCCGTTTTGTGATTTGTTTTCTTGCAGGTGTTGCATCTGTCATTGTTGTAATTTCTGTTATTTTGCATTTCTCAAAAGTTTCTATTAAATCCCCTATATCCTTTTCAAAAATTGTCATTTCTTCCGTCATCGGTCCAAAAAAACCACGTAAATATTTGTTCTCCTATTTTTATTTTCTTGCTAGTGGCTCTTTTTCTTTCTTCTTTATTGTTAAAATACGTGATGAGTTTGTATGTTCCGTTTTTGTTATCGTTAAGCTTATACCAATATCTTGCTCCTGCGTCCTTCAATTGTTTGGTGAATTCTGTTTCATCGATTTCAAATGGGATGTCGATTATGTTTGCACTAATTCTTCCCCATTGGTTAATCACGTTATTTTTGTAGTTCTCCGGTGCTACTTTGATTAGTCTTCCATTTACTAAAATTCCCCAAGTATTCATTAGTTTTTCTTCCGTGCATTTTATCCTCATTACTATTCTCATGTTGACTATTCCTCGTATCTTATCTTTTGTTTTGATGTCTATTATTTTCCCTAATTTCTTCTCTAGTTCTTTCATCACTTCGTCTATATCTGTATGTTTTTCGTCTATGCCTGTTATAGACATTGTGATGTCTTTGTTTAATTTGTTTAACCAGTCTAGATCTTTGAACTGTCCTATGCCGGCTATAACTCTTCCGTCTTTTATAAAGTTGTTTTTGGCTGTTTCGGTGAAAAATCCTACATATGTGTATTCGTTACCATGTCTTGTTATTTTCCCTAATGTGTTCACGTGATATTCTAGTAGTTTATTAGAGTTAATTATTTCGATTATTGATTGGTCTGTTATTTTTCATGGATTATGTATGATGTAAAGAATATTTATGCAATGTTTTAGACTTCTGTCATGCATATTCATCTTCTGGCATCAATTTTTAGTGCGATTATTCATTTTATTCCAATTGGAAATTCCAGATAATGATGTACCTTCAAATTTTACTTATAAATTTATTTTATTTCAACCTTTATATGTAATTTTTTTTTTTAATCAAATCCAAGCATTAAGCCGTGGTCCGTGAAAGATCGGCACAGAGAAAATTTGCCGATCATATCATCGTAGAGTAAAGAGACAATAACTTTACTCTCTAGAATATAGTGTTACAATTTTTTTTATATTTTTTAAAATAAAGTGACCCATAGACTCCCGGTTAAATGATCATTGCAAAGTATATTCTTTTTTGGTAGTGATATACGGTACATGAAAACTTTGCCTGCGAACTTAGATTTTAGACTATAAGATCCAAGGAATAAATAAATCTAAGAGTATTACGCCTACTCTTCTTCCTTATGAATTGATGGCCTTTGTATATATATATATATATATATATTTTTTCTTCATAAAAAAAAATTTTAACGCATGTTACGCAAATTACGATTTTTTAAAAAATATTTACACGATTCTTTATGCATGTTACGCAAAAAAAAAAAAATTTACATAAAATTTATCAAATTAAAAAAAAAAACTGATAAAAAATAAAAATTTTTTTTCGTATTTTTCTTTTTTCGTTACTAATAATAAATAACTTCATACAAATATTGTTGGACGAAATAAAAAAAAAACTGGATTAAATATATATAATTGTTTCTCAACTTTTATTTGGCCGTTCAAATTTCCATAAATGTATAAACATAAAGGTTATCAGTTGATGTAAATTCAGTAAATGAATGATCAGATGATGTGGCTATAATACAAATATATTACGTTACCAAGTAGAAAATATTGATTGTATAGTATATTAAACTGTGTGGAATCCTATCGAATTATAATCGAAGACTTACTAACCCACTACAATTTCCCGGCATTACTCGCCTACACTACAAAACACCTTCCATCAAAAAGAATATCAGTTTACTATTATCGACTGTAGAACGAATGGACTATCTCGTAGGATCACAATCAATAATCAGGCGACCTAAGGGAAAACAATAGAACAAGTCAATAATCCATACTCGATTAGCATCATTTATAGATGCTATTATTATTCCCACATGAAAAACCTTTGGAACAAACATTTTTAACGCCTAGAAAACGAACGCTCATTTTGGTTCCTTGTAATGGCTCATGGAATATCACCGAGGTTTACAAATGTGTTCAAACAACAAACATTATTTCCCTATACCCTATAAAAAAATTGGATACGTTTTTTATAAAGTTTTTATACGATTTTTTTTCCTTAGAAATAACGTATCATAATAGGATACGGAAAAATGCACAATTCCGTATCACCAAAAATATGGTTTGGATACGGAATTTGCACGGGATTAATA